ATGTTTAGCTGTTATGATTTAATTTTGTTTCCAGCTGCTCTTATGCTTTATTTCCAAGATGTAGAAGAAATGGATTTAGAATCAGGAAACCAGGGTTTTAGGTCTAGCCATCCTTGGGGACATATGAATTCTTAAAACAAAAATTATATAGAACAGACAAGGTTTATTTTTTCTCTTTTCTTTTTTACCTCATGGAGCTGGTTAAGTGTGTTATATAATATGCATACATCTGTATTTTAGTTTAGTGCTCCCAGGCTTGAGAAATCGAGTGAAAATGTGTAATGTTTCAGGTAATATTTAAACATTGGCTAAACATTCTCAACCAGTATTATCGTGAACAAATTTATGAAGTATCCTTCTTAAAATGTCCTTTCTAAAAGTTAAATGTATGTTCATTATGCATTTATATTTGTTAATTAAACTGGAGTTTATGGTGCAACTTGGGCTTATTTGTTAATAGTTAACAGTTTAGCCTATTAGCTAACATAGCTAAATACTTGGTAGTAGAATGAGAAAAATAATAAATGAATTTTCACATTTTTATTTCCTGCTGTAAATATCAAATTAACTGGTTTAGGCTGTACCTCTGATAGGTAACTGTGCAGTCTTGATGTACTATTTGAAGAAAATACTTTATTCATTGTCTCCCAGGGAAAGCATTGAAGTTTTTCTTTGTTTTGTTTTGTTTTTTGTTTGTTTTGAGACGGAGTCTCGCTCAGTCACCCAAGCTGGAGCTCAGTGGTGCGATCTTGGCTCACTGCAACCTCTGCCTCCTGGGTTCAAGCAATTCTCCTGTCTCAGCCTCCCAAGTAGCTGGGACTACAAGTGCATACCACCACGCCCGGCTGATGTTTTATATTTTTAGCAGAGACAGGGTTTCACCATGTTAGCCAGGATAGTCTCAATCTCCTGACCTCGTGTTTCACCCACCTCAGCCTCCCGAAGTGCTGGGATTACAGGCATGAGCCACCATGCCCAGCCTCATTGTTTTGTTTTTAATAAGAAGACTTAGGCAGGTTTGAGTTAAGGCATTTTCAAGTACCAAAAAGTGATTGTTAATCTGTCTCCTCATTGGGCCCTGAGCTAGAGGACGTGGGATGCATTTATTTATATGCACTTTTAGAGGGAGGAGCCAGAGCAGAGTTAAACTGTTCTTGCTAGTAAACAGGAGGAGTTTGACCACACTCTGGGGCAGGGAAGCCAGCAACCCAGTGCCTTGTGAGGAGGTGGAGGGAACCCTGCCATCCTCACCCTGGTGGGCCGTCCCGATGGTGCTTTGAAAAGCTGCAGTATCCAATAGTGATTGTGAAGTTGTGAGATACATGATTTAAGCACCCTAATGAAACCCTTCATAGTCTCTCTTGTCCACTAATCTTTTGTATGAGTAAAATGTTGGCAGGAACCCAAAGAGATGCTTACTCTGTTTTGTGTGCCAGGAAAAACAGTGTGAGCACCCAGGAGTGCGCAGCGTCTGAATCTGGGGGCTGCTGGGCCAGATGTGCTACAGTGAGCCTTACTGTTTACTTGATCCTGCAACTCATGTGCACTTTGTGTGCTTTATTGTATCTATGATTTATAAGGACCATATGGAAACCATCTTTTTTTTTTAAACAAAGGAGGATACAAACTAAATAACTCACTCAAAGTCACCTAGCTTAAAAGTGTCCTGTGATGCTTTATACCCACATAGCTCTTGTATGAGATTCTTTTTTTTTTCTTTCTTTCTTTCTTTCTTTTCTTTTTTTTTTTTTGAGACAGTCTTGCTCTGTCTCCCAGGCTGGAGTGCAGTGGCGCGATCTCGGCTCACTGCAAGCTCCGCCTTCCGGGTTCACGCCATTCTCCTGCCTCAGCCTCCGGAGTGGCTGAGACTATAAGCGCCCACCACCACACCAGGCTAATTTTTTGTATTTTTAGTAGAGATGGGGTTTCACCGTGTTACCCAGGATGGTCTCAATCTCCTGACCTCGTGATCCACCCACCTCGGGCTCCCAAAGTGCTGAGATTACAGGCTTGAGCCATCACACCCAGCCAGATTCCTTGTTTTGAATTGCTAAATTTGTTTTTGTTTTTTGAAGCAGGATCTCACCCTGACACCCAGGCTAGTGTGCAGTGGCGTGGTCTCATTTTACTGCAACGTCCACTTGCTAGGCTCAGACGATTCTCCCACCTCATTCTCCCAAGTAGTTGGGACTACAGGCATGGGCCACCGTGCCTGGCTAATTTTTCTATTTTTAGTAGACACGGAGTTTCACCATGTTGCCCAGGCTGCTCTAGAACTCCTGGGCTCAAACGATCAGCCCACCTCAGCCTCCCAAAGTGCTGGTATTACAGGTGTGAGCCACCATGCCAGGCCAGAACTGCTAAATTTGAATTGCAATTTTATTATTTGCTAAGGCTGTTATTTGAGAATTGAAATATGTTTTCTTTTATTCATTTAGAAGGAGATACAAATTGAAACTCCAGAGCTCTGAAAAAGGAAGGGTTTTCAATCTTTTAAACTGTGCAAGAAGTGAAACAAGTAATTACCATGTCTTTATATTAACTCCCGTCAGGAGCTTGTTCTCTCCACTTTTGCCAGTCAATTCCTGCCACACATTAACTTTTTCCTGGGAGCCTTCAACTACTTCTCCAGGTCCTCGCCAGATGTGAAAGTTATGGTGTCTGTGCTTATACAGTTTTTGATAGTTATTGCCACTTTAGCATTTTATTTCTTCCTTATGTTAGAGTGAGTTGTTTGATCTCTTTATTAAATTCTTCAAATAACTGTTTTATTGAGATAAGTCATATTCAATACAATTCATCCTTTTAAAGTATATAATTTAATTTATTTATTTATTTATTTTTTTAAGAGACGGGTTCTCACTCTATTGCCAGACTGGAGTGCAGAGGCACAATCATGGCTCACTGCAACCTTGGTCTCCAGGGCTCAAGCAATCTTTCTGCTTCAGCCTCTCGAATAGCTAAGACTGCAAGTATGCACCACCATGCCTGGCTAATTTTTAATTTTTTTGTAGACAGGTTTTCACTGTGTTGCCTAGGCTGGTCTTGAACTTCTGGCCTCAAGCAATTCTCCCACCTCGGTCTCCCAGAGCACTGGGATTGCAGATATGAGCCACTGCACCCAGCCTAAAGTATACAACTTAGTAGTGCCTAGTGTTTTTGGATTTGTACAACCATCACCACAGTCAATTTTGAAACATTTTCATTACTCCAGAAAAGAAACCATATACCCATTAGCAATTCTCACTTTCCCCCATTCCCATGCTCCCCAGCTCTAGGCACCCAGTAGTCTTTGTCTCCATGGATTTCCCAGTTCTGGACATTTCGTATAGATGGAATCATACAATTTGTGTCTTTTTACGACTGACTTCTTTCACTGAGCATAATGTTTTCAAGGTTTATCCATGTTGTAGCATATGTCAGTGCTTCATTACTTTTTATTGCTGAATAATATTCCACTATATGGATATATCACATTTTGTGTATCCATTAATGGACATTTGGGTGGTTTCTACCTTTGGATGTGGCTGAATAATATTCCACTAAATGGATATACCACATTTTGTTTATCCATTGGTGGACATGCAGGTGGTTTCTACCTTGTGGATAATGCTGCTATGGACATTTATATGCAAATTTTGGTGTGAACATGTGTGTTCAGTTCTCTTGGGTGTATACTTAGGAATGGAATCGCTGGGTTGTCTGTAACTAACTTTTTTTCTTTTTTTTTTTTTCTTTTTTTTTTTTTTGAGATGGAGTTTTGCTCTTGTTGCCCAGGCTGGAGTGCAATGGCGTGATCTTGACTGACCGCAACCACCGCCTCCCGAGTTTAGGCAATTCTGCCTCAGCCTCCCAAGTAGCCGGGATTACAGGCATGTGCCACCAGGCTTGGCTAATTATTTTGTATTTTTAGTAGAAATGGGGTTTCTCCATGTTGGTCAGGCTGGTCTCAAACTCTTGACCTCAGGTGATCTACCTACCTTGGCCTCCCAAAGTGCTGGGATTACAGGCGTGAGCCCCCGCGCCCCGCCATATGTAACTAACTTTTTAAAGAACTTCCATACTGCTTTCCAAAGCAGCTGCAGCATTTACACTCCTTCCAAAGGTGTATGAAGGCTCCAGTTTTTCCACTTCTTGCCAACACTTGTTATTTGTCTGCCTTTTGATTTCAGCTATCCTAGTGAGCATGTAGTGGTAGCTCATCTATTTGCATTTCCCTAATGGCTTATAAATTTTAAATTGCTCTAGGTTAGAAATTGTCTTATCTTTATTTTCTAAAACATTCATAGTATTTTCCACATGTTAACTCATAATGTTTGAATTTATACCCTGTATTTTAAAATTGCAAGAAAAGGGAGGTAGGCCTTAAAATTTTTTTTAAACCTCTGTTGAAAGTGTGCTTTGCCCATATCGTGGCATCATAGTTGCACGTTGTACTTTGTTTATTGATCCCTTATTGCCAAGCCCTATACAAGAAAGGACTTGATGAATGTTGATTAGATGAATGAATAGAGTCTTGTTCATATTCATCCTGGATTCTTGAGTTTGTCCCTGGGAACAGATGGGTGTTCTGGTTCTGATAATGCTAATAATCTCCTCAAAGATATAAACAGCATTAAAGACTTCACTTTAAACTGGTATTCCCAGAAAAAAAAAAAAGACTTGCATGCTTGAAAACTACTTCTGAAATATAGTTTGACTTGTCTGTCCATTGCATATTGTCAGAATTGTTATCATTTGTATAGGCAGCCCTACATTATTATCTGTCCCTTATCTGAGAAATTCTGTGAAACGTTAGCATGGTATATCAAGAGAGTTCATCGCAGCAGTTAGATAATCACCATTGTAAGGCACACTTAAGATACTTAAAAATAATACATTAATGAAAAAGTGATTTTTAAGGTTTTAAAGATGTTAAAACCTGTCATTCAAATTATAAAGGAACTGTATTCAATTTTAGCTTTACTGTAGATATTGGCTGATAAGCATAAAGTGTTTAATATTATCATTAGAACTTTATTTTGCCAACATTTAATCTTGTGAACGAAGCAGTTATTTCTTTGCAAATCATTTTGTAACAGAGAAGCCTTTCTATGGTTGTATTTATTACAAAAACATTTATCCCAGTTAAAATGGAACACAGTAACATTGTTTTGGATAGTTGCTGAAATTTCCTAAAATACCAATTGTGGTGAGATAGTTTGGTGTCTTTTAGTTGTCCAAATACAGCTTTATAATTTTGTTGTTTTGGTACTTTGAGGCAAAAAGATTAGTTAATTTTGTGAATCTGTATGCCTTGGGTCCTTAGTAACTGGATGGCCTCTTACAAATCAAAAATATTATTCTATGCACTGTGTGGTGAGATAGCGGGATGGATGTCGTAATGATGAGATCCCAAACACCAGTGTGAAAGCTTTTCCGGGGAAGAGGTCAAAGAAAATGGTCTATTCCTTAAATGAATGCTTGTTACATTAATATGCCCTCCTGTCATTCAAATATTGTCCTCAGAGTGATCAAAAAGGTCATGACCTCTGGGTCTTTACTGCTAATGCTACTTCCTTCCTCATTTTTAGAAAAATTACTGTTAATAGAAATGATACACTCGCTTTTTTTAACATGATATTTCTGTATTTTAAAGAAGTGTAAGAAACCATTAACATTTATGATTCTCACTTGTCATTCTAATTTATATTTTTAAAGATTTACATTATTTTGAGTAAGTTCTGTCCTATGAAATGATGCAGATGTCACCAACTTAAATTCAATTCTGATCTTATACATAATTCTAAATATATTACTTTGAGTAATACATGTTTACTTAGATTTACTATATTAAGTATAGATTCTGTGAAGTCATAAGTGTATACCTATATGATTTCTTGCTATTCTTGATTTGCATAATAATGAGGGTCAAAGTGCCCTTCTGCTCCTTCTTGTTCTGGGCTCTCATGAGCGTTGTCAGGATCATCGTGATCTTCACTTTCATCATCATCGTCTTGAAATCTCCTGAAAACTTGTGTCTTTAGTTGTATTGTTTGACCATTAGTGCTTCTTTGTTCACCATAATAAATAGTATGTATATGAGGGAAGCAGAAGAAGATGTATGAGCTTATTGGTTCCTTTAGTTTATTTTGGTCCACACGAATGTATGTTAAATGGTGGTGATGCAATGGGTCAATAGAAGGACACATCACTGTAAGATTCATCTCTGAAAGAAATAAATTAAAAATTAATCTTGCTTTATAAGGTATAATCCATCGTTATGACCATAATTCTGTGTTAGATTTTATGTTGTATGGGATATAATTAATTATAATACTTATAAATTGAATTAGATTTCTTTTTTACATTAATCAAATAATAAAATGAAGAAAATTAAATTATAAATGAGTTTTGTATTACCAAAATATATATGGCTTCATTGGCTTTTCTGATTAATAAAGTCCTAGTGAACAATCTCAAAAAAATTATCTACAATCTCACTACTTAGGATACTCATATTTCTTCATATACTCTATTATTTATCTCTATATATATTTTATGTATATATATATACACACACACACACACACATATATATATATATATATTTTTTTTTTTTGAGACAGTTTTGCTCTGTTATCCAGGCCAGAAAGCAGTTGCATGATCTCAGCTCATAGCAACCTCCGGGTTCAAGCAACTCTCATGCCTTGGCCTCCCAAGTAGCTGGGAGTACAGGCGCATGTCACCATGCCTGGCTAATTTTTTTGTTTTTAGTAGAGATCGGACTTCACCGTATTGACCAGGCTTGCCTCGAACTCCTGGCCTCAAGAGATTCACCCTACCCGCCTCAGCCTCCCAAAGTGCTCTGATTTCAGGCATGAGCCACTGTGCCCAGCCTATTTCTCAATATTTAAGGCAATACAATTTAATAGAAAGGACTATAAACTGAATAGCACACATTTCTCTGGGGCAAATTTCTGCCATTCCCTCAAGCAACTTCAAAACAACCATTTTCCACAATGTCTAAAGCATAGCTTATTAAATATTTTTTTCCTTAAAAGATGAGAATTCCATTCTTTCTCTCTTTAAAACACAATAAAAGTCTACATACTTTCTATTTCATTATTTTGTAGGTATAGGTGTTCCAAATTTCTTGGAATATAGAATGCTTGCTTCAATTTGTTGTGTCCAACACTGAGTTCTACAAGGTTGGGAAGATTAAAAATATTATATGGGATGTCTTGTAGTTTGTTGTGTGACAGTCTTAAAGCATGAAGTTTTGGAAGTTTGTCGAAGTATTTTTCGGGTATCGAAGAAATGGAATTATTTTCTAAAGACAGATACATAAGTGAAGAAGGCAAACCAGGAGGCATGGATTCTAATCTGTTATTGCAGAGGTTGAGCTGCATTAGTTTTTCCATTTTGGCAAAGATTTTGTCTTTTAGCAGAGAATCATGAAGATGATTATAACAGAGATCAAGCATGGTCAAGTTTACTAGCCCATCCATGGCATTTGTCTGCAGTTTGGAGATTTCATTGTAACCAAGAAGGAGTCTTTCCAGAGATTTAGGAAGAGGAAATGGAAATTCTTCTAAATTGTTATGCTCTAGATGAAGTTGTAGTAGATTTGGAAGCTTAGCAAACACACCATAATCAATCTTTTGAGATTTAATTTTGTTGTAGCTGAGGTTAATTTCTTTAAGATAAGTTGCATTGATGAATGAATTTGCAGTCACGGCCTCAATTTCATTGAACTGAAGGTAGAGTTGCTGAATGTGCATCGGAATATTTGGGATAGCCTTGAGTTTGCGATTATCACAGTACATTGATGATGGAAAGTTAGTTGGACAGAAGCATTCACTGACACAGCCTAAAGTATACTGATGAAAAGGAACTCCGTAGTCTACATTTTGATGAAATGGGAATCCTGTTTGATAATCATCATCTGGCTCTTGGTCATAGTCTTCATCCCACTGATAAGTTTCATATTGGCAATGTACTTTGACTCCAAGAAAGAAGAAAATAACAAATATTGGACTTAAAAAACCCATCTTCTTCTTCTTCTTCTTTTTTTTTTCCTATTGCAAGGAGAAAAGGAAACATTGTGGAGAAAGTGAGTAAAGTCAATACACTTTGTATAAATTGACAGTTACGTGAAATGTATTATACCTATGTCTGTATATAAAAGAATATCCAGAAAGAATGGGCAGTGCTCAAACCAAAATTTTTTTCTTTCTTTTTTTGTGACAGTGTCTCCTCTGTCGCCCAGGCTGGGGTACAGTGGCATGATCTCAGCTCACTGCAACTTCTGCCTCCCAGGTTCAAGCGATTCTCATGCCTCAGCCTCCCGAGTAGCTGGGACTACAGGTGCACGCCACCATGCCCGGCTTATTTTTGTATTTTTTAGTAGAGACGAGGTTTCGTTATGTTGCCCAGGCTGGTCTCAAACTCCTGACCTCAAGGGATACTCCAGCCTCAGCCTCCCAAAGTGCTGGGATTACAGGTGTGAGTCACCACGCCCGGCCTCAAACCAAAATTAATGTTTAAGTACCAATGAGGTGAGATTTTTTTTTCTTTTTTTTCTTTTTCTTTTTTTTTTTTTTTTTTTGAGGTGTGGAGTCTTGCCTCGTCACCCAGGTTGGAGTGCAGTGGCGCAGTCTTGGCTCACTTCAACCTCTGCCTCCCCCATTCAAGTGATTCTCCTGCCTCAGCCTCCCGAGTAGCTGGAACTACAGGCACGTGCCACTACACTCAGCTAATTTTTGTATTGTTAGTAGAGACAGGGTTTCTCCATCTTGACCAGGCTGGTCTCTAACTCCTGACCTCAGGTGATCCACCGACTTTGACCTCTCAAAAGTGCTGGGATTACAGGCGTGAGCCACCACGCCTGGCCGAGATTTTTTTTTTTTTTTTAAGTCACATATTACACTGAACTAGAGTCAAAAGTCTGGTATACTAGACTTTCTACCAAGTAACCATCTTTTAAGAGTCCCAGTTTATCTTGCTTACTAGAGTATAGATCTATGATGATAGCATGACATCATTCAACTACAGTCTGATCCCTCCACTATAAATGCTGGGTGTTCTTTGGAATTACCTGATCCTTTAATGATGGTCACTGCCTGGGGGAGGAGAGACCTTTATTTTAGTTGGAGAGCTTTTGCCTGGGAGATTCTACAACTTCTATTTGTTTTCTGCCCTTCAGAAGAACATTAAATGCTCCCTTTTATGTGATAATTTCAGATATTTAGAAATAGTATTCATGTTTCCTTTTAATATTTTCTGTCCAAAACTAATTGCACCATCAAATTTTCCTCATGAAACAGTTTCCAGAATCCAATTATTTAGTCTCTGACTCTGCTTGAATAACTACTTTAAATCCTAAAGACGTACAATGTTTACGTTCTACAAAATTCAAGTGTCTTTACACTTTTCTTCCTAGCTTCCTTTTTTCCATTAATAGATTTAAGTTAAGTTTTAGGTATACAAATATTATTAAAAACACACTGTCCCTGTCTCCCGGGAGTTTAAAGTCCGGTGGAGGATTAGATACATATGCAGCAGAATGCAGGAGGAGGATATTGTGTGGAGCAGGATTGCAAGGGGGGCACACTTCACAATGAACACTCGGTGCTGAAACTTGAAGTTCTAGGGAAGGGTCAATTGTGTCCCAGATGAGAAGCCTGAAACCTACATTTCATTTCTGTCACTTAACATATCTGCCTCTTGCCTCATCAATAAAAGAGGAATTGCAATTATAGCTGAATTATACCTTGGCTGCTTATCTGCTTATCTTGTATGTTGCCTTGTGTCTTTTTTTTTTTTTTTTTCCCTTGAGATGGAGTCTTGCTCTGTTGCCCAGGCTAGAGTGCAGTGGTATGATCTTGGCTCACTGCAGCCACCACCTCCTGGGTTTAAGCAATTCTCCTGCCTCAGCCTCCCCAGTAGCTGGGATTACAAGCACGCTCCGCCACACCTGGCTAATTTTTGTATTTTTAGTAGGGACGGGGTTTCACCATGTTGACCAGCCTGGTCTCGAACTCCTGACCTCATGATCCACCCACCTTGGCCTCCCAAAATGCTGAGCCACTGCACCCAGCCTCCTTGTGTCATATCTTGCCTGCTTATCCCACCTGGTTGTTGTTAGCATTGTATGAGCTTTGCATGTACGAGTACTTTGCATGTTGAAAACTGCTGTCCAGATGAAATGAATGTATCGTTTAGGGAAAACGTTTAAAAAAATCCTACCTCGTTTATTCTGAGACCTTTCTACTTTTCCTATCCAAGATTTCACGAGAGAATGAGTTTCCTAAAAAATTGTTGCATATAATGAAATGACTTATCTCCTATTCATCTAGAATGGTTCTATTTTTCATCATTGGTATAATTGAGAGAATAATTACTTAAGTTATTTTCTTTGACAGAACCTCATTTGAGAAAGGTTAAGAAACATCTCAGTTTCTTGTTTTTTTCTTGTCAGAAATTATAAATGTATAAATGTAACTATTGTGTGTATTTGGGATTTGAAGTAGTTATTCAGGTGAAGTCAGAGACCCTTGAGCTCTTTTCCTGCAGTGATACTTTCCTTCATTCTTCCTCACCGTTTGCTGCCATGCGCCCGCATCCTGGGTTTTGTCATTGCTCTTACTGGAACCCTTCATACTCTCCATTTTGAGTATTCCACACTCTGACCACTATCTCTGTGTAGTAACTCCAGCTGCAATAATTCTTCAATTTCAGTGGAACCTCAGCTATTGATTCTACTATTTTTCACTGTCCCTCATCCATCCTTGCCAACGTTGTCAGTTCCTTCTTACCAACTTAGACCCCATAGTTCATCACTATCGTTGCTCTTTTGCACATGCCCTAAACTTTCTGGCTCCTTCAATCTGCCAGACTCCAACTCTGGTTACTCCAATTCTCCACCTACTCACAGCTGATTGTAACTAAAGAAAAGCAGGAGCATAGTGACTGGTCTCACTCTCAATTCAAGACCACTAACCTCAAGTGCTGTCCTGCTGCATTTCCTTAGACCATCCTCTTTCCCTCTCTTCTATGCTACTGTTTTGTAACTTTCCTCTCTCAAGTCTCTAATAACTCATTCCCCATTATTATTTTTGGGTGATGACCTTGCTTCTTTTTTTTAAGTCGAGAAAATAGGATCAAGATATCATTTATTTCTATTTTCTTATATTTATCCCTACCGAAAGAAAATGCCAAAATAGCAATGGTTTGTTTTTTTTTTTTAACAGTATGTGCTTTTGAAACTCATGACGTTTCTTTGTGCAACTCTATTACATCCACTTTTCTTTCTGTTCTGTGAGATTTGTGGAAGATGTGGCATTTGACCTAGACTTTGAAGGAGTGTTGAGGTTCTCATAGAGGGAGGTGAGGAAGAAGATCTCTGGATAGAAGAGATAAACAAAAACATAGAAGCAACAGATGGTGATGTGTTTGGGGTATGTGGTTAGTTAACTCTTGAAGGAGCAAAATAAGACTATTAAATCCAGATCTGAAGGGATTAGCCTAACTTTTTTTTCTGAGACAGAGTCTCGCTCTGTCACCCAGGCTGGAGCACAGTGGTGCACTCTTGGCTCACCCTCCGTCTCCTGGGCCCAAGTGACTCTCTTGCTTCAGCCTCCGAGTAGCTGGGATTACAGATGTGTGCCACCACATCTGGCTTTTTTTTTTTTTTTTTTGGTAGAGACACGGTTTTGCCATGTTGCTCAGGCTGGTCATGAACTTCTGGGCTCAACCAGTCTGCCCCCCGCTCAGCCTTTACTTGAACATTTTGCCTAATCAAAAGTTTAATGTAACTTTTTTACCAAAGTGCTGGGATTACAGGCATGAGCCACCACACTTGGCCTTGGAGGGCCTAAATTCTGACCTAAGGAATTTGCACTCTGGGAATGAATGCTTAATTTAATGAATTAACATATTTAGGCTGTGATTTCACACTACAGTCAGTGTTCACGGGTGAAAAAGTAGAGAATCTTGGAAGGAGGTAGAATTAAGGAGTTATGGTCTTATACCAAAGGGCAGTGTTCAGAGCAGGCTCTCCTTGCTGGGCTGGAAGCTCCCAGTGGGTCTGCTTGGAAATGCTTATTCACCTACTGTACTCTACTACTTTACCATATGTGAACATGCTTAGTGAAGCACTTTACAAATATTAGTAGTTAGTTTGATTGGGTTATATCAGTTTATAGTTATCTTGAATTATTTCTAGCGGTGAGGCACTATGCTAAGTTGGTGGAGAATACAGAAATGAAGAAGACATGAAACCATAGTCCCTTCTGTAAAGAGCAAACAGCTTAGTGGAAGAGAGAGATACAACAAAGTGAACCCTAATCTAAGGCAGAGGGTAATATTGTTTATAGCAGAGATAGGCAGGCAATGCTGTGGGGCCAGTGGCTTACCTCAGCTACAGAGGGACAGGAAAGTCTTTTGTAGACATCATTTGACCAAGACTTTGGGAGATTAATAGGAATGGATATAGAATATTCGATACATTTTATACTCATTGATGATATTTTACATATAATTTTATAATATTTTCTTGTACTCATTATAGTACAACATATTAACTTTTTATTTTTGGAGACAGAGCCTCGCTCTGTCACCCAGGCTGGGGCGCGATGGCATGATCTCCACTTACTGCAACCTCCGCCTCCCAGCCTTAAGTGATTCTTGTGCCTCAGCCTCCTGAGTAGCTGGGATTACAGGCGTGCATCACCACAACTGGCTACACTGTTTTGTATTTTTAGTTAAGACAGGATTTTGCCATGTTGGCCAGCCTGGTCTCGAACTCCTGACCTCAGGTGGTCCGCCCACCTCTGCCTCCCAAAGTGCTGAGATTACAGGTGTGAGCCACTGCGCCTGGCTGAAAACTCAGCTTGATTTTTATCCTTTTGTTGAGAACATTAGCTCATCATCAGTTAGCAACCTTACATTTGAGAATTAGAGTCTGTTGTTGAACAACTATGAAAAATTTTTGGGAAAAAAGAAGAAGGCCTTGAATCAAGACGTCATGATTGGGGCGTCTTTGAAAATAAAGAGATTCTTAATGTTGTCTGCTTTTGGTCTTTGTGAGCACCTAAGAAGAAAGTCTTTCCTTGAGGAACAATTTGTCTTCTAAACCTGAACTTATCTTAAACATCCTTGTCCTCCTCCCTCCACGTTTCTAACCATGTCCCTCCACGTTTCTAACCATGTAGTACAATCTTGTCCCACTCCCTTTGATTAAGTGCGGTTTTCTGGTCTGAAATCCATCCTGTTTTCATCTATATGCTCATTATTTTCTGTGCCTCTTACTCTTTCCCCATGATGATTTCCCATGTTACAACAATCGCTTATTTTATCCAAATTTTTCATTCCCCAACTAATCTCTTCTCAGTCATTTGCTAAACATATTTTTGTTACTTCTGCTTTTCACATTCTACGATCTATGCCTTGTTCTCTATAGGATAACTCACAGCAGTATTGTATACTTCATTGTCAATCATCTCATTTCCTGATACCTTTTAACAGAATCTAGTACAATGCAGTGTTATAAGTGCTCAAAGATTTGTTGGATGAATGATTAGGTTAATAAGCTATAGGTTAAGTCTTGCAAATGCTTCCCTCCACTAATGTTGGTTATTCCTAGACATTTATTTCACCATGGTAATTTCTTCAAATGAACATATTCATGAGAGCTTGACCGTTCCTTTTTCTATTGAATATTTCTTCATCACAATATACTGTATTCCTCACTTTCCTAGTACATTGTGTAGTAGGAAAATAACATGTGAAAAAGAATGGAACAAAGTAAAATATATATATTACCAGTTTTCACTGTGAATTTTTCATATTATAGCAATAAAAGCATCTGTGTCATAACGTTTCTCTTACTTGGAGAAAAGCACTTATGTGTTCATCAAGAAAAGTTTTAATTGAAATTACTAATGAGGTATAATTTACTTGTTCAGGAAAACTTTAAAGTAAAAGCCTCATAACATTTTATTATGTTAAAGACATAATTGTTTTTATTTGTATGCCATAGAAATTAGCATATAAGAAAGCAAATATTATATAATTTAGATTTTTCCAAAAAAGTTCTAAATTTTAATTTTGTAAAATTCTTTTGCTATTAAAAGTACAATTACCTCAGTTATTTTTAGCCATAATACATTTAAATCTTAATTAACTAAAACCCAAAGTAACTAGATCCTTCAGTAGACTAGACAGAGGATCTGTATCTTCCCTTTGAGAAAGAAGTAAATGAAAAGACAAACATTCTATATCAGGGATTTAGTCAGTAGAGAAATTTGGAGGAAATCTTGAGTGAAATTTGTACAAATGCCCATCAACCCCCCAACCGGAATCACTAGCATTGCTCAGCTGTATGCCTCAAAGGCATTAGCTGGTTCTTTGTTACTTATAATTCATAGAGAAAAAGAGACCTAAGGAAGAGGAAGAAATTGATTCCTTTAACATGAGAATCTCTCCTTTCATTCAAAGTAAAAAAAAAAAAAAATCTAAACAAAGATTTTTTGTTGGGTAAATCTTAAATGAGAAAGTTAAACTCATTATACTACTTTACTTGAACATTTTGCCTAATCAAAAGCTTAATGTAACTTTTTTACCAAATTTTGCTTCCAAAAAATGTGCTTTTATAATAGATGCAGTCTATTTTAATATTAAGCAAATCCAATATACTTTTTAAATTTTAACAGTAGGAATACATTCTTAAAAAATTGAAAATTATTTTATTATCATACCTGTTCAATTTGCTTTAGTTTTCAGGGGTTGATGAATTTGTAAATCCTTTAAATGAATCAGAAATTCCTAAATTCTTTAACTGAGTCTCTTAAAAATCCACAGTAACTCTGTGTCCAGACAGGGCTGTCTCTTGAATTACTGTAGCAATTTAAGCAAATACAATCTTCTTGGAAAACACTTGGGTTGAATTAAAATTATGTATTTCTTTTCATGACATGAAACTTTGTGGACTGAAATTAAGATGCTTGTGTTCTTGGTCAGATTTATGTGGCTTACTTCTTTCTTTTCCCCTTAATTTTGGTTTGAGGTGTGGCAAGAATTTCCTCTAATGTGAAAGGCAAACAAAACTAAATGAAACAGCATGTACTGATTACTGTTTTTATTTTCATTTTCATGCCAAAGAATTCTTCAAATTAAGGCCCACTGTGACAGGGAACTCCAGTGTCTCAGCAACTTAAGGTGGAACTCAAATTTCTTTTTTTATTTTTTGAGATGGAGTCTCACTTTGCCGCCCAGGCCAGAGTACAGTGGTGCAACCTTGGCTCACTGCAACCTCCACCTCCTGGGTTCAAGCGATTCTCCTGCCTCAGCCTCCCAAGTAGCTGGGATTACAGGCATGAGCCACCACGCCCGGCTAATTTTTTGTATTTTTAGTAGAGATGGGGTTTCACCATGTTGACCAGGCTGGTCTTGAACTCCTGACCTCGGGTGATCCTCCCGCCTCCGCCTTCCAAAGTGCTGGGATTACAAACGTGAGCCACCACGCCTGTCCTGGAACTCAAAATTTCTTGAGTCGCTTGGTTGTTCAACACCTAGGTTCACATCAGTACTTTGTTAAAACAAGGAATCAGGATTAGAAACATATAACATTTTGCATTCGGTTTATTTTTAAAAGGCACTGGATTGTTGTTGCTTACACAGATTAAGTATATGACTTTTCTATACAAAGGCTTACATCCTCATTTTTATCAGCTATCTCATTTCTCCTCGTTTGCAGATGTACCCACTAGAATGCCTTCTAATATCCTTTGAGATAAAATTAGTCAGTTGGTTGCACTCCAAAGGTATATCTCCAATTTGCCTGTTTTTAGTATTGCACAAAATAATTTTGTAGTATTGAATAAAATGGAATGAAAAGCTTATGTTGCTCAATAGCTATTGCCTTTATTTTGTAGATTTGGAAAGTTTCTTCATTTCATGGAGCTGTCTCTCCTGATTAGTAAGAGTTAACTGTTTTTAATGTTTAATTTTTACACTGTTTTCATATTCTAAACAGAGAGTTGACTTGTGTCTTTTGGCAGTGGACTCAGAGTTCATTTTGGGGGGAATTCTTAAGCTTTTACAAACTAATAAGATAAAGTGAATCCTGGAGTTCGTTTTGTTTCCTCAAAAAAGTGTTTTCCATTAGCTTTTTACAAAGAACTCACAAGATTTATTTTGTTAAACTTTGCATTTAAGAAAAGTATACAGTGTTTCAAGTGATGCTTTGGCAGTTGTAAAAATCTAGTCTATTATTGGAGACATTGGTATGAAAAACGTGGCAGACCACATTTGAGCCAAGATTCCATCTTGTTACTGATCTTTTCCATATGTTTTCTGTTAGTGTCTTTGTTCTTAAAACTCAAGCTTTCACTAAGGAAAAGAGAACAAATCTGTGTACTTTTTTCAAAAATGGTTTTATGTGCCTTCACGGTCCTTTTGGAAGATTAACTTAAAATCAACAGCCTAATGTTTATATAACTTCTCATTAACTCTGTGATTTGGATTTACAATATTGATTGTTATTCATGTTTTTAACAAATGTGAGAAAAAATTATCAGTAGGTAATTAGAGCACACAGAATAAAAAATGTCTAGAAAATTTAAACTGATTGGCAATGTCTATCTAGGAGGTTTAAGGTGGCAAGGGACGGGAATGCAGGGAGGTGGTGGTTAGAGTCAGGCCTTAAAGGAAAAAATAGGCGATATGAGTTTGTAATAGTTCACTGTTTTAGTTAAGTGGTTATAATTGTAGCAGTTGGGGAGAAAATGAGTTGAATAGTTGAAAAGTGTAAATTATGTGCTATGATTATACTTTGATTGAAATAGATTCAGTATCTCAAAGCTGAGTGACATAGGACTGGCTAGGAAAGGCCCTCCTGAGACCTGCTTAATTAACAATATAAGCATTACAATTTTCTGTGCATTTGTTCCACTTTATTTACTGGGCACCTACTTTGTGCAAATTTGAGGCGCTTGGGACTCAGCAGTGAAAGTCTCTGTTGTTATAAAGAAGGAAAACAAAAAATAAATGTAAATAATCATAAAATGCAGCATATAAACAAGGTAGAGTGCGATGGAAGAGAATAATGCAAGGTAAAGGGATAAAAATGAGGCATTGGGGTACGGGTCAACAGTTCAGGCATCGCTGTATGTGGGGACTGGAATGGAACAATTAAGTTATTGTATGGCAGATGGTGAGAGCCGAGTGTCTCACTGTTGAGTGGGAGTTACAAATAAATAAGCGAGGTGAGGTGGTGACAGTGATCCATGTGGTAATAGATTAGAGTTGAAGACATCAGTATGAACTCATATTTAGTTTAATGCAGCTGGTTAAAAGGGAAATGTAGTTATGTTATATATACATAGTACACACATAGACCTCCTTGCTCTGTTGGCTGAGAGAGCCTACAAGCAGGAGCATTTTAAGCAGCAGCAAACACAGTCAAAGCCCAGATCTTGGTTTCTAACATCATTTTCCAGTAAAAGGAACCAGGGCTGCTCCTTGGAGAAATGGCTGATTCCAGGAGGACTGGAGCAAGGAAAGTAGGAGATGGGCCTGGAGCATTGCACAGTACCAGAAAAAGGACACTCAGCAAAGAAAGAGATCTGGGGAGTCTCTGTTCTACTCAGTTTTGCTGTGAACCTAAAACTGCTCTAAAAAATAACATCTGTTAATCTTTGTTGTTGTTGTTGAGACAGAGTCTCGCTTTGTCGCCCAGGCTGGAGTGCAGTGGCACCGTCTTGGCTCACTGCAGCCTCCACCTCCTGGGTTTAAGCGATTCTCCTGCCTCAGCCTCCCGAGTAACTGGGATTACAGGCATGTGCCACCATGTCCGGCTAATTTTGTATTTTCAGTAGAATCGGGGTTTTTCCTTGTTGGTCAGGCAGATCTCGAACTCCCTACCTCAGACAGTCTGCCCACTTCAGCCTCCCAAAGTGCTGGGATTGCAGGCATGAGCCACCATGCCCTGCCTATTAATATTTTCAAAAGGGTAGGCAGACACTATTTTAGGTAGTTTAGATATTTAGAACTGAATATGGTGACGGGGCAAGCCAAGTTGGTATCAGAGTGGTGACAGGCCAGCTTGGCTGATGCCTAGTGATCTAGGAGGAGGGAGTCAGTGGTACTCTCACAGGTAGCCAGTGTCAGGGTCAAGGCAGACATATGCCTGGAAGTAACCGCCTCTCAGCATTCTAAATGGAATCAAGTTTGTAAGGCAGATAATGACACTTAGCTGATGAACTACTTCTATCAGAAAGGCCACTTGAGGAGCCCTATAGAAACATCCAAACATTAATTACAGTCAGTCTCTTGGTCTGTCTGCTCCCAGCGTGCCCTGAATTCATGGCCCATACTCACAAGCTTTCTTGGCTGTCTTCATTCACATTTTCTGTGAATGGTGCCCCCATCCCAACCCTGACCACTCTCTTGTGTAAGCCAGAAGTTTGGGAGTCCTTTAAATTAGTGCCTTCTCAAGTGTGGTAGGAGGTCCATCAGCATCAGAATTACCGGAGCTGCTTATTAAAAATTCAGGTTCCAGCATCTTTATATACTCTAGAGCTACAAAATCAGAACCTCTGAGCATGGGCTCGGCAACTTCCATTTTAAACAAGTGTCCCAGGTCCCACCAAACCTTGAGAACCACTGATGTAAATACTTCTCCCTGACTTTCAAATTGAGTCTGTTGATGAATCTTTTGTGTTCTACACCCAAATATCTTTTTGGTCTGACTTTGTCTCATACCACGACTGCCATCATCTCAAACCCGGGTGCCCTGGGTAGGGTCTTGACTATGTTCACAGATATCCTTCTCCAAGCAGTTTTCTTGCTGTCTGCATAAAAATCAGACTGCACACTGTCTCTGCTTAAACTTCCTTGTTTCTAGTTGTTACTTGTTTCTACTTATTACTTCCAGTGATGCTTTATTTTTAAAAAGTAAATTCCAAACACTGATCTTCAAGATTGGGGATGATCTGACCTTGGCCTACCACTTGCCCATTCTTGGAATGTTCAGTTTGCACTACTGCTGGTTTCTGCGCTGTTCCCACACTGACTTCTTTTTGAGACTCACATTGCCATGTTTCTGTCTCACTATGACCTTTGAAGGAGCATCTCTGTCTGTTGAGGATACTAGGCCTCTGTACCTCTCATTCTCGTTGTTAGCTAACTCTTATCTTTAGGACATCAGCTTATCCCAGCTGCAATTAATGATGAATGTAATTATTTGTCTGCTTTCTCCTTTCTGACAAGATTCTTTTATGAGCTGCCATGTCCTCAAACTGTCTGTCAATAGTGGTTGCTCAATAAATATTGTTTGAATGAATGAATGAATGCACAGTACCTTCCAATGCGTATCTTCTTCTGCATTTTCTGAATATGTTTTTAATTTCCTGCCTGTTGGAGGAAAGATGCCTCCAGACAATGGCCTCTATCACTTCAGGGGAATAATCTTACTGTCACCTCCCAGATCTTACCTGGTGAACTCATCAGCAGGCCTCATAGGCCCTGTATGTGGAACAAACTTTTATTAACACAAAAGCATGAATACAGAAACACTGAAAACAGAAGACAATCAGTGAATACTTGGCTAAAGTCTACAGAACACAATGAAGGGAAAGAACAAACGACTGTTATGCTTAACTCAGCATCTGAATCACCTGAATATAATCTTGTCATTTTCAGGCCAAGTGAGGTGGCTCACGCCTGTAATCCCAGCACCCTGGGAGGCTGAGGAGGGCGGATTACCTGAGGTCAGGAGTTCCAGACTAGTCTGGCCAACATGGTGAAACCTTGTCTGTACTAAAAATACAAAAATTAGCCGGGCATGGTGGTAGGCGCCTGTAATCCCAGCTACTCGGGAGGTTGAGGCAGGGGAATTCCTTGAACCCAGGAGACGGAGGTTGCAGTGAGCCAAGATCGCACCATTGCACTTCAGCCTGGGTGACAAGAACGAAACTCCATCTCAAAATCATTATCATCATCATCATCATCTTGTCATTTTCTTGTGAATTTCTTCCAGAGATATTTTGTACATATAGAAGCAAATGCGTATATTTAGAAATCATTATTTCTCAAGAAGCATTCCTGCATGAAAT